TAATCATTAATGTTTAAATGCAGTCTAGAAATACACCCAACCAGGTTCCCTATCAGGGTCACAGAATACAGAAAGCAATTTGAGCATCTATTTTTCTAAATGTCCCAAAAAATAACATAACTAGTACCACTCCAGCCACACAAGAAGGAAGTTCAGTATTAAAGCTTAATTTTACAGAGAGGAACACAGTTAAGAAGCAAACAGGACCTCCTATTACCCAAACACTAATGATTAAGAGTCACAAAGCAGAAGCTAGACAGGTGGTTCCCCAGGGAAAGGTACTTACCTTGAAATTGTGACAACCTGAGTTTGGGACCCAGAAGCCATGTAAAGGTAGAAAGGAAAGAACCGACTCCACAAAGGATATCTATCCTCTGACCTCCACACGTGCCCTGTGTCATGTGTGCTTATATACATCATATATACTGATAAAAAGTTTAAAAAGAATCACAAAGTATTTATATTTATACAGTTGTTGTTTCTGAGTTATAAAAAGCAAAGCTCCCAGGAAAACAAGTTCTCAAAAAGAAAACTCATTTTGCCTAGCAGATTGTGCAATTATGTTCCGGGAAAGACTTCTAAAAGTTATTAAGAAAAACATGTACAACAGAGAACGTGAGGTGTGGCTTTAACCTAATGTGTGGTTACTATACTAAACACTAAGATCTTTAAATTACTTAATAAAGAACATTTATGAATTCTATGTTATTTCATAGTCAGCTTTTAAAATTATTGTTACCATAGTTACAATGATTAGATGTATAAGAGTACTTGGTGACTTAGTTATACTTTACCTAAGTATATTAATCCAAACCCTCCAGAGCCGATCATCTTGCCCAGCACCCACTGTTTCCCTTCCATGTCATCCAGAACTTTGCCTTCTGGAAGTGGAACAGGGAGCTTGCACTTTTCTTGTCTTCTTGGTGGCATCGTATCTGGTGGCTGAGAGACAATATAACGAGTTAAAAACAAAAGCAAACAAAACTCTACAGTTAAAACCAAAATTTCCCAACATGTCTTCCCCAGATTAAGATTAGGATCCTCAAGTCAAATCTGAGAAGCCTGTACACAACAAAGAATTTAGAAATTCAAAACTCTACAGTTAAAACCAAAATTTCCCAACATGCCTTCCTCAGATTAAGATTAGGATCCTCAAGTCAAATCAGAGAAGCCCGTCCACAACAATGAATTTAGAAATTCACATACTTTTAAATCTAAGAGATGATGTTATTTTTTACATCTATTGTATTCTATTTAAATCAGTACTTCAAAAATCCATTCTGGGTTGAATAATACATATTAACCCTGCAGAATATACCTTAAGAAAGACCTGATTTCCAACTACAATGAAAAAATCAATTTCAGGTACATACAAACACTTGTTGAGGATGCTGAGTTAAAAACATGAGGTCTTTCATCACTGGGGAGGAACACAGTTTTAAATTAAGACAGTCACTTCCACCACCAAGCAGAGCATCTGAATGATGAGGCACTCAGGGTATAATGGGTAAGTGAGCATGGGATTCATGGCTATATAATTCAAATTATGCACTGGCTAATTTCAGGCTGGAGAACTACACTTTCTGGCTTCCTAACTTCCCTCTTCCCCACCCTCCTCAAAGTGAAAACAGGCTTGCCTTAGAGATTACAGCTGTACTGCCAACAAGAAGTGCATAATCTCCATAGCACAGCTATACACCACAATTATCTTTGTACACATGAGCAAATTTTATGATGGGGTTTTTTTTTGGTTGGCAGGGACCATTTATAAGGGGAATAGAGTAAATAATATCAGAATAAATGCCTGAAACGAAATGTGAAAGTAATCACGATTCTCTTAGTATTTCTAGACTTTAAAAATGCCGATACTTTTATGAAAATTACTCATGAATATATGAAGTACCAAGTTTTCTTCGTAAACCTTCCCATCTTTGCTTAAGGAGATGCCTTGCTATCCTAAGACCCGGGAGGTGGGAACATAGACTTAACTCTGGAATACAGGCTTGGGCCACAAGGGGTTTAACCGCACAGTGTGCGTACTGGTGCCCAAGGGAAAGTTGATTCTGCAACAACTCTGGGGTGGGAACGCAAATAGATCCGGTGAGATCTGTGGAGACACTGAGGCGGGCTACGCCCGCGACACTCGGGTCACCTTCCCTGCGGAGGCCACCCGGGGCCTGTTCCCTGCGTCCCGCCGGCTTCCGGGTCATTTCCCCGGCTTAGCGCGAAGCTGTCTACCCGGTTTCCGGGGCAAGCTGGTTCCCAGCGGCCTGGGGGGCGGCACCGCGGGCGCAGCTGGCTTCTGGCCGCTCTCTCCGCGCCACCGGAGCCGGCCCAGCCGTCCGCGGGCGCGGGGAAGCGGAGAGCCCCGGGGCCCGCAGTCAGGGCCGACCTGAGACCGGGTCGGGAAGCGCGGCCAGGCCCGGAGGCCGCTCCGACCGCCGTGAGCCCGGAACCCCGGCGCGGAAGACTGACCTGGCTGCCAACGTCCCGCCGCCCGCCTCGCGCCGGTCTCCGCGCCCAGCCTGGGCCGGCGCCTCCGAAGCCGGGGCGGACCCTGCGCCCGGCACCTCCCAGGGGCCGGCCCAGGCCGAGCTTCTCTGCATCCAGCCGGGTCTTTCTGCATCTAGCTAGGCCTCTCTACACCCTGCCAAGCCTCTCTGCACCCTCCCAGACCTCTCTACACCCAGCAGGCCTCTCTGCACCCTGCCCAGACCTCTCTACACCCAGCAGGCCTCTCTGCACCCTGCCAGGCCTCTCCCTCTGCACCCTGCCAGACCTCCCTGTACCCAGCCAGCCTTTGGGCCCTCTGCTGTGGGCTTGAAAGCCTTAAGCAGGCCTCAGCTCAGGGAGATACCAGCACAAGAGGAGGAGGAGGCTAAGTTGGGAATGAGGGCTAATTTTTTTTTTCCCATGTACTTTTGCCCAACAGAGTCTGGCTTGTGAGCCATCAGATAGCCTGGCATGAAACAGCCATGATATGCATTCGAGTGGGAAGAATGTATGCCTATTGCACCCTGTTCTGAGTACCAACAGCTTTTAAATGGATCAAGCCCTTGCCAAGAGAACTCACCAAGTAACTAGGCTTACCCAGTGAGCCCTCTGCAGCTTGGAACCTTACGGAGAGCGAGTAGGAGGGGCTCTAACAGGCTGTGACACCCTTAGGGCTAGCTAGTTGTGCCCTGTAATAACTGAATATTGTTTAAAAAATATTTTAGTAAATTTCTACCTTTGTATCAGTAAAATGGAAGCAATCAGGTTCCTATGACAACTGAGTTTTCTAATACTTTAAGGATTCATAGTGAGCTTGTAATATTTTAGAGTAAACAAAACAGATCCTCAGAAAACAATTATTCAAGCAGTTCTTCAGTTTCTTACCTGATCTACTTGGATGCAGTGACAACTGAGTTTTCTAATACTTTAAGGATTCATAGTGAGCTTGTAATATTTTAGAGTAAACAAAACAAATCCTCAGAAAACAATTATTCAAGCAGTTCTTCAGTTTCTTACCTGATCTACTTGGATGCAGCTACTGGAAGGAAAACTGGAGCTCTGTTCTTTAGTGGCTTTGATGAAGGAACTGGGACCCTAACCTAGCAAACTTACCAAAGTGAATGATGGCATGACTAAGTATTCAATGAGACATGTATAAAAGCATCTTTTAAAGAAATTATGGGGGCTGCAGGTATAGCTTAGTTGATAGAGTGTTTGTCTAGCATGTAGGAAGCCCTGAACTCAGTTCCTAGCATACAAATCAGCATGATGGCACATGCCTATAATCCCAACCCTTGGGAGGTAGACACAGGAAGGCCAGAAGTTCACAATCATCCTCACTACAGAGCAAGTTTCAGTACAGCCTGGGCTACATGCAAGTCTATCACAGAAAAGGGAGGTGGGGGCTTACCTATAAGATTGTGTTCTTAGTTTTTCACCAGTTGAACACTACTTATTTTTGTAATATACATGGGGAAAAAACTGGTCACCTCGCCAGCACATGAAACACTAACACATTTACACTTCCCTCTGCCCCAGGTCACTTTCTTTGATGTTGCTACAGCACCAAGCCACAACCTCCCCCTTTAAACAGTGTGTCAGGAGCACGTGAATCCTGACAGCTCCACCAAGATCTAAGTCTACGCCATACTGCTTAACAGGCACAATCTTGGTCCAAACCACATTCTTTTATCTGGAAACGGCAGTAACCAGACTGATATCTCTGCTTTCTACCCTTCGGCTCTTTTCGTTTACTGAAACATATAGCTGAGTTTTCCTTTTTAAAGCTTGGTTTGAAAAAAAAAAAGTTAAAGCTTAGTTTAAATAATTGGTGAAATACCAAAATACCTTGTCATAGTTTGATTTTCTGTTACTGTGGGAAACACAATAACCCAAAGCAATTTTAGCACAGAGGGGTTTGTTTCATCTTGCAGGTTCCAGTCCATCACTGATGGAAGCTAAAGCAGGAGCTTGAAGCAGAGACCATGAAAGAATGTTGCTTACTGCCTCACTAGCAGGCTCAAGTTCAATTACCTTTCTTACATAGACCAGGCCTACCTGCCAGGGAATGGAAACTTTCACAGCCGGTTGGGCCTTCCTACATCAATTAGACATGCCCACAGGCCAATCTGATGAGGGAAATTCTTCAATTAATGTTTCTTCTTCTCAGGTGTGTCAGGCTGACAGCCAAGACTGCCTATCACATGCCTCGGTGCTATTCTAATTCACTCCATATAAACCAGTCATTACTACGACATAAAACTGTGCTTACTATGACCAAGTGCTTCTCAACTTCGGTACTGTTGATTGCAGGTTGTAAATACTCTTACTGTTGGGTGTGTGTGGGCAGTAGGGGGAGGGGCCAGATTATGAAGACCAAAATTTCCCTAGATATTACCAAATTTTGCAAAGCCCCACCCCTGGTTAAGAACAACTTTCCTAAAATGATCTGCCTACCTCACATCTTTTACTTTTTCCAGTCGTAGTGGCCTCATCCCCGTGGTTAGTACCTCTGCATTTTTCCTTCTGCTTGAACCACTCTTTAATCCACTCCATCAGCCTCCTAAGGTCTGGATCCAAGGTCATCTCAGTCCTTTATAGTTTTGTCTCTTATGTTCTATAATCAGTTTCACACTGATCTTTAGGTGGGGTATGTGTGGGTGGCTTAAAAGTTTAGGCAAGTTGGTTGGAAAAGGACTGAGATGACTGATAGCCACCCTAGGCCTCCATGTGCCCCTGCATATGCATGTACACACACCATCACTAGGAAGTACACACACACACACTCACACACACATACACACACACACACACACACCCCATTAGTAAGATATCAAGCGTTGGGAAGGATACAGAGTAAATAGAACTTTCACATCTGCTTATACAGAAACTTTGGAAAACCTCAGATCCTGACTCAGTACCTCCCCACCTCGTCCATAAAGAGTACATTCCAAAATTCACAGTGGATATCTGAAATTATATATTCTGTGATTTTTTTTCCTACACAGCCATACCATTTAAGTTATAAATTAAGCATAGTAGAAGTTAATAAACAATAAGAATAGAAGAACAGTTATATACATCATAATGAAGAATTATGTGAAAGTGGCCTTTCTCTCCCTGCACTGTATTCTCCCTTGTGATAATGTGAGGTGACAAAATGTCTGTAGGATGAAACAAGGTGCAGTGAAAGGTATAGGTACTGTGACATGGCATTAGGCTACTCTATAAGGACCACTGTAATACCTCAGTACTCAATCCGATAACTATGACAGATCCTAAGTGACAGGCAGGGAGTGTATCTACAGAGACTGTGCTACACAAAAGGATGATTACAGTTCTAAATGTAACAGAGCAAGATTTCATCACACTGTTCAGAAAGATGTGCAATTTTAAACTTATGAATTATTTATTTTTAGAATTTTTCTCTTTCATGTTTTAGGACCATGGCTGATTGCAGGTAACTGGAACCTCAGAAAATAACAAGAAGCTACACTGTAATGTTAAACATTAGAGAAATGCATAGGGCTGGAAAGATGGCTCAGGAGTTAAGAGCACACACTGCTCTTGCAGAGGATCTGGATTTGGTTCCCAGCACCCATGTCATATGGCTCACAACTGCCTCTAACTCCAGTTCCAGAGATCCATGTTTTCTTCTGGATTCCATGGGCACTTGCATTTGCATGTGCACCTACACACACACACACACACACGCACACACACACACACACACACACACACACTAAAACATAGAATAATTCTTTTAAAAGGGAGAAAAGTAGATCTATATCGTCACAGGGATTTCTTTGCCAGTGTTTATTAGCAACTGAATGCATAATAGCCCAAAATCAGAAAGAATTTCAATTAACTAGTGAATGGATAAACAAATTGCAATGCAGATCTTATATAATGGAAATCTCTCAGCAATAAAAAAGAGAGCAAACTACTAATATAAGCATCAACCTGCCGAACCTCGAGAGCCTGAAGCCATGTAAAAGAAAACACCTTCAAGAACACTGAGTAGTTCTATTTGTGTGAAATTGACAGGATCTGGGTTGAGGAGATGCTAGAGGACTAAGGGAACTTTATGATTGATGGAAATTTCACACCAGCGGTTTGAGTAGTGGTTGCATAATTACACCTTTTTTAAAATTCTAAAAGTACACTTAAAACTGATTAATTATAAAAACTGATTTAAAAGAACAAAAGAACAGTATGGGAAGAGCCTGAGTCCTTGAAGTCCTTAGAAACAGATCGGAA